TGCTGCTTCTGTACCGAGGAGAGGGGCAGGGGGGGGGGTATGTGTGAGCCCTGGCTCCCATTCCCCCCGCCCTGCTGCTTCTGTACCGAGGAGAGGGGCAGGGGGGGGGGTATGTGTGAGCCCTGGCTCCCATTCCCCCCGCCCTGCTGCTTCTGTACCGAGGAGAGGGGCAGGGGGGGGGGTATGTGTGAGCCCTGGCTCCCATTCCCCCCGCCCTGCTGCTTCTGTACCGAGGAGAGGGGCAGGGGGGGGGGTATGTGTGAGCCCTGGCTCCCATTCCCCCCGCCCTGCTGCTTCTGTACCGAGGAGAGGGGCAGGGGGGGGGGTATGTGTGAGCCCTGGCTCCCATTCCCCCCGCCCTGCTGCTTCTGTACCGAGGAGAGGGGCAGGGGGGGGGGTATGTGTGAGCCCTGGCTCCCATTCCCCCCGCCCTGCTGCTTCTGTACCGAGGAGAGGGGCAGGGGGGGGGGTATGTGTGAGCCCTGGCTCCCATTCCCCCCGCCCTGCTGCTTCTGTACCGAGGAGAGGGGCAGGGGGGGGGGTATGTGTGAGCCCTGGCTCCCATTCCCCCCGCCCTGCTGCTTCTGTACCGAGGAGAGGGGCAGGGGGGGGGGTATGTGTGAGCCCTGGCTCCCATTCCCCCCGCCCTGCTGCTTCTGTACCGAGGAGAGGGGCAGGGGGGGGGGTATGTGTGAGCCCTGGCTCCCATTCCCCCCGCCCTGCTGCTTCTGTACCGAGGAGAGGGGCAGGGGGGGGGGTATGTGTGAGCCCTGGCTCCCATTCCCCCCGCCCTGCTGCTTCTGTACCGAGGAGAGGGGCAGGGGGGGGGGTATGTGTGAGCCCTGGCTCCCATTCCCCCCGCCCTGCTGCTTCTGTACCGAGGAGAGGGGCAGGGGGGGGGGTATGTGTGAGCCCTGGCTCCCATTCCCCCCGCCCTGCTGCTTCTGTACCGAGGAGAGGGGCAGGGGGGGGGGTATGTGTGAGCCCTGGCTCCCATTCCCCCCGCCCTGCTGCTTCTGTACCGAGGAGAGGGGCAGGGGGGGGGGTATGTGTGAGCCCTGGCTCCCATTCCCCCCGCCCTGCTGCTTCTGTACCGAGGAGAGGGGCAGGGGGGGGGGTATGTGTGAGCCCTGGCTCCCATTCCCCCCGCCCTGCTGCTTCTGTACCGAGGAGAGGGGCAGGGGGGGGGGTATGTGTGAGCCCTGGCTCCCATTCCCCCCGCCCTGCTGCTTCTTCTGTACCGAGGAGAGGGGCAGGGGGGGTATGTGTGAGCCCTGGCTCCCATTCCCCCCGCCCTGCTGCTTCTGTACCGAGGAGAGGGGCGGGGGGGGGGGGGGGCGTGGGGCCCGGGGCCCAC